AAACTAAGCTTCGGCAACAACAAAGATCATGCTTAATCCTTTCTGGAGTTTATTCGAGGAAATAAGTTTTTAAGATTTACTTCGTAATTTTTAATACAGATATTTTGAGTTTTTATGTATTTTTACCTTGTCGTGAAGTGAGAACTGAATTAATTGAATGAGAAACACTAAATTGTCTCTGAAAAACCGTTTCTTTTTCTGTTTGTATAATTTCTTTTATACATCGCTTTAGATTTACTTTTGTTAATTGCTCTGTACACAAAAGAAATTTTTAGACGACTTACAGAAGGTTTCGTAATACTCTTGCAGGCAATAAATTCATCTTTGTAACAACATGTGGGGCTAGAAGGCACTTTTCATGAGCACAACTATTGGCTCTGACCTTTTTCACCCCTACAACCGGAAGTCAGTGTACATTCCTTAAATAGCTAAATTTTCAATCTGTTCCGAACTATTCTTTGACTTTCGAGCAAAGAAAAAAATATCTTAGTGAAAAATATGTTTACTTCTGTTATAAATTCAACCTTGAATTAAAACTGGGTTATTTAAGCATATTTACCTATGATGGAGTTTATTCGCAGTCAGAGAGGAAAAATTCTCGTCCTTTTTTCAGGACATAAATTTTATAAGGAATATCACAAAGCAGAGTACCAAAAATGGCCTTGTACAAGTAAAAAATTCAAAGCAACACTTTATCTTGATAAGACAAATAACGTGTTATCAAAATCTTATCTGTGTCACAATCATGAGTGTTGCAAGACTATTTCTAGACAAGTTGTTTCAAAAGGTGTTAAACAGAAAGCTTTTGAATATGCAATCCATGAAGCTGTGAGAAAAATGTGGCCTAAATGTCTATTACAGGATGTAGATTCCACTCGACTGAAGCTTGGCGGCGAAAACTTCAGCAGTGCGGATTGCAGCAACAATATAGGAATGGTAATTCAAAAATTGGCTGATGGCTTCGACTGGTATTTGGATTACCGTTTTTGGATGCTACTGAAGTTTCGGATAGCTTCGTTGAAGACCTGATGTCAGAGCAACCACGGGATGCAAACATCACACGCTTTACTGATTATATAACCGAGAACTACCTAGATGAGGATGCAAAATTTACCCCGATACTTTGGGCTTGCGCTGATATTTCATCGGAAAGGACAACGAATGCATGTGAAGCATTTCATTCAAAATTCAGAGCGAATTTTTATCATTCCCATCCTAATATATTTGTCTTCACAGATGTAATTCTTGAAATTCACATAGATATATATATACGCTGAAATAAATGGGATGAAGCAGCATAAAAAAATAAAAAACAGGAATTATGCAAACAGAAAGGAAAGAATCAAGGATTTACTTAACAAACGCAGGTATGGAATGATTTCACGATTAGAATTACTAAGAAGTTTTTCATGTTACCCAAAAATTGTAAGCTAATTATTGCAATCTATTGTATTCAAACAAATGAATGTGAAATATCATAATAAATATAATAATTTTAATTACAAAAGTATTGAGAAAAGTATTTAAAAACAGATTAGCAGGATAAAAAAATAAACTTAAAGAAAATGTTAAAGTATGAATAAAATAAATAAATAAGTGTAAAATATGAAATCATGGAAAACGATTTCTAGAGTAAATTTCTTAGGGGTTGAAATTTAAAACATACAGTAGAAATGAGAAGAGAATTTAGATCTCTTTCATATCATGAGTTTATTAAGCATTATATACCCTACGCGGAGCACGCATTCCTTGAAATTGAAATGCGGACATAGGGCACAGAAAAATATTTTTGAAAAAAAACTATGTATTATTGCATAAATGAAAGACAATAAATAAAACTATCAAAGAAAAATATGTAAGAATTATTACATCAAACACTCTCTTGACCGCAAGTGATAGAATTTGGTTTTCTCGTTTATCTTTCAGCAAAGCTTATGCAGTTAAATAATCATTTTCATTCGCGTGAAATTATAAAAACATGCAAATGTTTATTGAAACGCTACAGTGTGAAAGAAAAATTCTGGAATAAAAATGTTAAGAAAGTTACATGAGAAATAATCCATGATTTATTGATATCCATATAAACTCTATGCTTTTGGAAAACGTTACGCATAATTTGCATTGAGGTATCAATAACCGGCAACATTCGAGTAGTTCGTGTCAAAACCATGTCTGGAGAATTAATTCGACCAATCCAGAGAATATTCCCTCTCGAAATACCTTTATCTTTGGAGTCAGATGAGGCAATGAAACTGAGACTCAGGATGAAGACAGTTTAGTCTCAAAATTACCAAAGAATAATTCAGCTGCAGATTTACCAAAGGACATTAAGACTGTCGTGACTAGAAGTGGACGACAAATTAAAATTCCATCTAGATTTCTAACCTGAACACTACTTGAGTTATTTTAGAGTAGAAATTTAAAAACTTATTTTTTTTCTTTTGTTTACTATTTAGCCTTAATATTTGTATGGACAGTATTTTTTTTATTATATTTTGTTTTGATTGATTAAGTATATGTCATCAATCAAAAGGAAGTATTGTTAGAACCCAGCCTCAGTTGTTATTTTTCTTTTCATAGTTTATCACTGTAAGAGTGGCAATCATCTGATCTTTGTTGTAGTTTCTTGTAGTTCTATGGATTTTGAAAATAAATATGACGCTGTAGAATTTTATATGTAAAGTTATTTTATTTTAAGTTTATTAGGAGAAAGGAGAACGGTTAGTTCTTGCAAATCTCGAACAATAATAATTGTTTTTACTAAACCGCAACAAAATCTAACCTTCCCACAGAACTATCGCCCTATCAGTTTACTTAGCCATCTGTCTAAAGTTGCTGAGAAAATCCTACTTTTCCACATCCAAAAAATTCACCCTTCCATGAATTTTCTCCCAGAAGAACAATTCGGTTTTCGTAATCATCATAGCACTTGCCACCAACTTCTTAGAGTTATCAACATTATCACTGAAGGCTACAACTGCAAGCTTCCGACCGGTGCTATATTCCTCGATATCGCGAAAGCTTTTGAGAGGATATGGCATCGAGGCCTTATTTACTAACTAATCACTCTCAATTTTCCAGATCATTTTATTCGCTTAATAGCCTCGTTTCTCAGCAACAGAACACAGAAGAATCAATCCGTACTGCTCACTACTTACTCAACCACCAGAATAATCAATGCTGGTGTACCGCAGGGGTCGGCACTTTCGCCGTACCTTTTTAATATTTATACACAAGACATTCCTAAAGACCCTTCTGTCCATCTTGCAATCTTTGCCGATGACACCGCCATACTTACTAAAGCCTGCACAGTTATCGCCGTAAGAAACCAACTCCAAAACTATCTCATAAAACTGGAAAAATGGCTCACCCTTTGGAGGATTAAAATTAACACTGAAAAAAAAAACCAAGGCAATAATTTTCCGTAAAGGAAACATTAAATACTATCCTCCACCCCCTGAAATATTTGACGAAGAAATAGACTGGATTAATGAAACCAAATACCTTGGAGTCACCCTTGACCAAAAACTTACCTTCAGAACACACTTCTGCTCCGTAGTACAAAAATTTAAAATCACCACAGCTACTATACGACCTCTTCTTGGTAGAAAAAGCAACTTATCTACTACAAACAAATTAATTTTATATCGGTCCAGCCCTCCTTTATGCAACTCTGATCTGGGGACATGCAGCTAAAACCAATATTAAACAATTACAGATTCTGCAAAATAAAATTCTACGAGAAATTATCAATGCTCCTTGGTATATTCCAAACATCTACATTCACAGAGATCTTTAAATCGAACTTATTCAAGAGTATATTAAACGATTAGCGGTCAACCTCTTTTATTCAGTACAAATCCACAGTAATAGCCTTATTAGCACTCTCAGACACTCCCAACATCCGAGTGAAAACCATCGGTACCCATGTGACATCCTACCCACATATGAATTACAACCTTAATTGACTCATTCACGCTAAACTGACTCCGCGGTTTACCATCCGCGGCTACATCTTATAACGACACCGAACTTACACCCCTTTTTTTTCGCCGCCGCTAGCGCGGACCTGGCCAACTAGATATCTAGTTGGCCTTGACCTGACTTTCTTTCTCCGCCTCCCACACTTCCTTCCGCACTACTCTTTCTCCTCCTAACTGAGTCTTATCAGAAGTCGAGTAAAAAGATGTTCCTACATCTTGACACTCGAGAATAAAATACGATCTGTATGTGTGTGGAAAGAGTTGATTTTATGGTTACTCATCTTATGTACTGATAAATTTTTCCATGCGTTTAGACCACGGAGTTTAAAAGAGGTCTTTATACTCAGCGGTTTTATGAAATAAGGGAAGCCCCTACATCTGTTGATAAAATTTTTGTATTATTTAGTGTACTTGAAGAAATCTTCGTCGGGGGAACTTCGACGAGTTTGATTTAAAACATTTTCTCTTAGTATGGTTACTTCACGTGTGCTGAAATTTCAGTACTTTGTTGTTTTTGTGTCGTATTTGGTAATTTAGTATGTAGTCTGTATTTCTACGTAGATTTTCCGTTTTGCATTTTGAATCCGTTTATGATTTTGTATTATTTTAAAATTTGTTATAAAGCCCTTAAGACTAGCACTGCTTTTGCATGTGTAACGTTTTTTGTTTGCATGCTCACCAGTTCGGCTGCTAGCCTTACATATTTCGTTCGTAAGAGAAATGCTATGTGACTGCGGTATTTTTATGATTAATAGGACTTTTGTCATTGTTTAGCATTTAGAAGCACATTTGCTACTTCCCAGTAAATTCGAAAGCAGCAATTTACTTGATGGAGGTAGGTCAACAAAGACTATGTACTCCGGTGTTTGCACCACTCCAAGAAACCTGAACTCTTACACGCACACACAGATCGTATTTTATTCTCGAGTGTCAAGATGTAGAAACATCTTTTTACTCGACTTCTGATAAGAATCAGGTTGGAGGAGAAAGAGTAGGGTGGAAGGAAATGTAATTCACTACATGTTCTTATGAGAAGTAGAGAAGTTAAGCCAAGTTTTTGAAATAGACGCCAGATTGCGCCACTTGCAGCCCGAACGTTTGTTTAATAATACTATTTTTGATTTTAATCTTCAGTGTAGTGAAGATTGTTCGTCGTGTGATTCGCTGTACTGGTGTGAAAGTTTTATATGGACTTGCTTGGACTCCAATTTTATTTCGGAGTATTTCATTTTTAGACAATTTTGATTTTATTATATCGTAAGTCTCTGAAGTTTGCGTTTCTCAAGTATTAAATATATAATCCAATGCATTTTATTAAAAATACTGAGAATCGAAAGTGTTCCGCAATGCTTTCTATAAAAAGTTTTAGAGTTGGAAAAAAAAAAGTGATATGAAATGTTAATGCAGAGTGTTTTCTTGGAATTATATTTTTCTTTTCTGAAATCATAAAACGTCAACAAATTATGACTTGAAATATTAAGTTTTATATGATATAAATATGTTTCCGAAAGTTGGTCGTAATAAATGTGTATTTGTAACGAATGTGAGGTCTTATATTTAAGAAAAAGAAGTAAAGTAATTAACTTAGGAGAAAATGAATGTCAGGTTGTAATGCGCACTAAGTAGTCAACAAATGTACAATGAAATTTCTCGTATATTGTTGGATGTTTTAGGTAACATCTCAACCGCTGGTAACAGTGACTTGGAAATTTAAAACAGTGCTTTAAAATGCATGTACTTGCAGTTTTTTATGAAGTTTTATGTGATGACATGTGTTGAAATGATTCTATTATGCATTTTAGATATCTACAAATAGTATTGGCTGTATCAATTTATAGTGACTGTTAAGTATTTAGTAATTTATCTGGGAAATTTCTCATATGTCATAGAAATTTTTGATAGATGTCTATTATTTACAATGAGATTGTTTTTCTGATAACATATCCTACTAAGTGATGAAAATGCAGTAGATTGCTTGCAGTGACTATAGATGAAATGCAATCTTCAGCCTAAAAAGCTTCACCACCCCAGTTTTTAAACATGCTGTCATTTCATAAATTGTGTTTTCAGCCTTTCTCTGCATTCATCATGAATATTCATTTAGATTGTGATGTCACAGAACATGTTAAATGACAAAGTTAGACATTCTAAGAATGTATATATACACACACATATACATATTAGGTGTATCTCAATGAGAACATTTGTATACGTTATTATTTGTAAAGAGCGAATTAATTTTAATAATAATTGCCATAGTTTTGAAGGTAGTTATCTGTAGAAAATTCAGTTTCATTTTAAAAAGTAAATTAACTGACTGCATTCATTTTATTGCAAAATGTTTAATTTCAGTATTTGCTTAAAAGCATATATTTTTTAGCTTCTTTAGTAGGTCAAACATTTCAAAGTTGTGTATGGATGAAGTAGGGCTGAATGGCATTCCATTACTTCCCATTTGAAATTCTATAGCAATGTATTAGTTTCATGGAGTATGCAAGGACGGGCAGTGTTATACAGAAGTGTAACTCTGTTGTTGAGCAAGTCTGGCCATTCATTTTTCATTGTACAGAGATTTTGCAGGATCCTTAGGATATTCAATGTTGGTAATGGTTTTACGCTCCATTGCGTTCTCTTAGATTTTACTGGAAGTTAAATATGATGATATCAGTTTTGATACCAGCAACAGTGCTGGTGTGTAATTCATAGTCAGTACGATAACATAGCAGCTCCGCTAGTGGCTGAATGCTTAAGATCACTCTGTACTAGTATATTGACTTGGAGTTTAACCGGTAAAATCCTAGTATATGGTGCAGCCTTGGTGCGATTTTAAAATTATCGCCAACACCAAAAATTACCAAAAGAACGTCTATGTATATTTAGTGATAGTATACTATACACTATATACTATCACTATATACATAGTATATACTAAGTATAACTATATATATTCTTTGAATACCTGTTTACTACTCATCGTATATGTCCCGTTTTTATTGCTCATCATAAAAGTCGCCAAAAGTAGCCAAATCCCATGTGCACCGGATACTAGGATTAAACCGTTTAACCTAGGTGAATGGGCTGGCAGCATGGGTTTTTTTTTTTGGAATTTTTCCTATGTGTAAAAGAAATACAATCTAGTTTTCCTTAGAAAGTACTCCATGAAGGCATTCTGTCCCATAGGCAGATAATCTGCATGTACTTTGTCCCATTTAAATAATTTAATCTGACAGCAACTGTGGGAAAATACACTGTCATTCAAGATGTGGCTAAAATGCAGAATTGCCCACTTATTTGTTTGGCGCTTTTTACAAGAGTAAGAAGAATTGGATTTTTGTCAATTTTCCTTGACTTTTTAAGTGAAAATAGGTCGATATGTACATGGATAAAGTCAAGGGTGTGCACAGTGTCATTTTTGTGCAATTCGGGGATTTTTTTTTAAGTGAAAATAGGTCGATGTATACATGGGAACCGAGTATGTGCAATTCTTAAAATTCGCCAAGCAGTGGACGATTCTGCACGTTCTCCCAAGATGCTTTTGCATGTTAGTTTACATTTTTAGCAATTGCTGCCTTTGTTTCTGTTTATATCCTTATCAGGAACTATTACATAAGTCGGCTAATCTTTGGAATATGGTAACAGGTAGTTTGGCAACATATTGGTAAGGCGATAAAGGTTACTAGGTAGGACTTTAGCAATAATCTGAGAAGTACACAGTTCGAATTGCAGATTATTTTGTCTCGGAGAAATAAGAGATCATGAGATATGTCGTGACATTTTCGGGAAAATTCCGATCGTGATTTTAGCTAATAAACACTTAAAAACAATTTCGCTGCTAAAGTGCAGAATCGCCCACTTATTTGTTTGGCGCTTTTTACAAGAGTAAGAAAAATTGGATTTTTGTCAATTTTCTTTGACTTTTTAAGTGAAAATAGGTCAAAAGTGTACATGGATAAAGTCAAGCGTGTGCGCAATGCCATTTTTGTGCAATTATGAGATGTTTTTTTGAGTGGAAATAGGTCGACGTGTACATGGATACCACGTGTGTGCAATTCTTAAAAACGTGTGAAGCAGTGGGCGATTCTGCACTTTCTCACAATTTCGCATTTAATCTTCTTCATGATTAAGCACTTTTGTTCTAGCATAAGCATAATTCGGCTAGCAGATTGTTGGAAAAAATGTTGAGTAAAAAAAAATGCCTTTATTTCGTGAAAACAAAATGGCATCCAAAAAAAAAAAAAAAAAATAGCAGGTTGCTGTAGCAGGGTTGGTCGCCAAATTTTTGCCAAAAAATCTCCAAGTTACCATAATCCGAAGATTCAGTCTTATGTTCATTTACTATGGCCATTCAGTCAAATGGCATTTGCTAGAGCTGGGAATGCTTCGTTCTGCAAAGTTACTGGGTCCTGTTTGAGATGAGTCCACTATTAATGCATGATTTTTTGTAGAAAGTAGGCATCTTTGATTATTGCAGACATTTAATTGTGAATTTTAGTGTGTATCATTTTTTAAATGTGGAAAAACATTTCATTTTGTTCTGGATTTGAAGAATTTGCAATCACAAATGTCATTTTTGCAACTTTTTGAACAGTCAGAAGTCGTTAATCCGGACTCGTCGGGACTTCGGCGACTCCGGACTATCGATTTTCCGGATTATAGATCATCAGTTTAAATCTGGTAAGATGGCATGCAGAAATTATAAATTAAAAATATGAAACCGTAATTTATGAAATAAAGAACAATTATGATCTAAAGGGTATCAAAATTTACAAAAAAAAAAAAAAAACTTAATATTTATTTGTTTACTTTATTAAACATTTCTTTCAATGTAAGTTGTTTAAGTTGCTTCGTTTTATGTGATAATACTTTCTCTTTAATTCTATTAAGCAGACATAATTTCTTGTTTAGTTACAAAGTTCCGCTGTTCAAGTGCTATAATTGCTGTGTTGAGAATACCGACTAATTTGTCAATCGAAATTTTTTTGTTTTCAATAACCTCTGTGTCACTTTCTTCACTATCAGAAGCGAATTATAATGATGAGGAATTTGATTTAAATCATATCAAAGACGGAGTACATCGAGATGAAATACTACATTTAGTAAATAATTATAAGTCAAATAAAATAAAAACATCTGCCCTGAAGATAAGGATAGTGCTGACAGATCAACTTCCAATAAATTGCGCGTTGCGGCGTCCCCCTCCCACCGCAGAGCAGCGTGAAATTGATAAACAGATTTCGGAATGGTTACATAAACAAAGGATTATGCCTTTATCCATTTTTTGCAGCAATTCCACTTTTTGTTTAATGGACTTCGAAACATACTTTCGCTTTTTAGATCCTTTACATATTAGTAAATATATATCGGAAATTCTATTTGACATAATTGAAAGTTGAAGCTTACTTTTATAGAATTGCTCTAACAGTCTGCAAAAAATAATAAGCCGGATCCAATTTGAATATTAAGGAACAACGCAATCTGCAACATTAACTGAATTAGATAATTTTAGCTTAGCTTATACCGTCCATTATACGTTAAACGCGCATGCGTAAACGTATTATGCGCATGTGCACACGCATATTCGCAGTCGTAAAGGTCTTGCGTGCATGCGTCAACGTGACGCATCCGCAGAAATTTTGTAGCTTTGAGGTCTGGATTATGGGTTTCCGAATTAACGACTTTTGACTGTATTCTTAATATATTTGTGCCATAATTTCGCGCGTATAGTCTGCAGACTATCTGTGTTTAAAATGCGAATTTTTGAAGCTGCGGACTATCCACCAGTGCGGATAATACGCTGGTTGTTCACGGTTAAAATCATTGAAATTAAAAAAAAAACACACTGTTGTGAACTGCCGATGATCAAATATAAAAAAAGCGCGAGATTCCAAGAAAACATTCGTATGTATCGTATCGATAGTAAAGAGCATAGTGCAGAACGAATGAGTAGTAGCAAGTAGAGCTCCCAAAATCCAGGCTGGTGCATCAAGCGATGCCGGGATATGAGCACTCACTTAGCGCAACCAGAGTCTTGTATCCCAGTGTCCTTCGCACTGCTTTAGCGCAACTGCCGGGAGGGGGAAAAGTAGTTGATGCGTCAGCTCGGTTTTTAGGAGCCTTAGTAGCAAGTACCTGGAGTACGAAAAAAAAAAAACGAGATTCATTTACTTATAGCGTGGTTTGGCAACACCGAGTGAGTGGGGTCGAAGGTCACATTTCATTATCACTTATCACGAGGATAGCACGTTGCACAGTATTTT